TGGAGCGTGGCTGCTCCCAGGGCAGGGTCTGTCCTCTGACCTGGTATTTGGGGTTGTGATGTGGGGGGGGTGATGGGGTTTGGTCCCGCTGGGACTGGGAACCAGGCAGGGCTGGGATGCAGGGAGAGAGGGACGGGCTGGTGGAAGCTCAGCCCCTTCTCTTCCCCCTTTAAACCGTCCTTGAAGTCAAAACCTGCCGGCACGTGTGTGCGTGGGGCTGGGGCTGTCCCCAGGCAGCCAGGCTGGAGCGGGGAGCTCTCAGCCTGCCCTCCCGCAGGCTGCCCGCAGCTGCACAACCGGGGCAGAAAATACAAAGGCAGAGAAGCAAGCAAACCTCGGAGGTTTTCGGAGGATGCTGACTTGGCGTGTGCCACTATTTGGGAGCAAACGAGGCTGTGAGTCAGGGGGCCGGCTGGAAACGCTGCTCTCATCCCCTGCCGTCATCTGCGAGGGTGTGGGAAACGCACGATTTGGGGGATTAGACTGGAAGGAACCTCACGTTTTGCTGAGTATGTTGGATCAATCGAGGAGTGGATGCTTGAGCATGGGTTCAAGCAGGGGCCTGGACACGGGGTGGGCTTGCCGTCACCTGGACCAGCAAATTGTCAACACCATCCCAGCATGGATTTTGCCCGGGATGGAGCAGCACAATTGCAGGCGGCTCTGGGGTGGACGGGATCCATGCCGTGCCTCCTGCCACGGGACAGGGCGGCACGTGCCATCCCGAAACCAGTACTGGCATGTCCATGCCGTGCCGCAGCGCTGGTGGGGCAGGGAAAGGGGGTTGTGAAAATGGGTTGGGTTTGGCGCTGGCGGGGTCGGTGGCTCGGCCATGGTGGGTTTCCACTCCTCTTTGGCTGCGTATTTATTTAAGATGGAGAAACTCAAGTCTCCAGCAAGACATTTGGGTCTGCAGGCCTGGCTAGGTTACAGCATCACGTGTGGCCTGAAGGGACATCCCCACCCCGAATGTGTCACTGCTTTTTGGGGACAGGTGTGACGTGTGCACAGAGGAGCCGGGCAGGACTGGGGGTCTCAAACTGAGGGGGTCATCCAGCGGGGTGATGCTCAGCACCCAGCGCGGGGTGGGTAGGCTGTCCAGCTGTCCGTCCATCTGTCCGTTGTGCCTAGGAAACAGTTAACACGGCGCAGCCCTGCTTGTGGAGGAAGTAGTTAATATTCATAGCTAGGAGCTGTCTGTCTGGCTGTCCTCCCTCCCTGGCTCTCACCCTCCCCACACCTCGCTGGGGTTAACCC